GAAAATGCCATGGACTACCAGAACAAACAAATCTGTGTTGGAGGAAGAACAGCCCGAATGCTCCTTAGAAACCAGGCGAAACTTAATCTCTCATACTTTAGACATATTATCAGGAGGGATAAGTCCCTGGAGAAGGACATCATGCTTGGTAAAATGGCGGGTCAGAGAAAAAGAGGATGCCTCCCAATGAGATGGGTTGGCCCAGTTGCAGCAGCAATTGTGAGAATAGCGCAGAATCAGGCAGTGTTTCGTTCTGTTGTACAGAGGGTCACTGTGAGTCCGAACCGACTTGACAGCACCTAACAACAACTTACGTGTGTAATTTTGACTGGTCCAAGTGTTACACAAAATACTTAACTTTCCTGCTTGTGCTCTATTCTGGAATTACTTTCTAATCTACAAAAATACTAGTTGCAACCCACTCAAATTGATTTCCTGCCTCACTGCTGGCTGGCTTACTGGTGAAAAACAGGGCATCAGTGTAAACACATGGTCAATTCTGATGTTTCCTTATAGCTTAGCCACCTATCAGTGACCGGCACAGAAGGTAGAAAACATTCAGCTCCTTTGGAGAGGCTCTGAGGACTCTGGTGGGGAAAATGTTAAGGAAAAGTCTTCTCCACTCAAACTGCAAATTTCTCAGCCCTGAAATCAAGCTGATGCTCCAGATGTCTAAAGGAATGAAACAGAACCTTTCTCTCAGTAGCTCCCCACCCCCACCCCCTACCTTCAAATTATTCAAATCCACAAAGCAGTCCACTTACGACCCAGACAGGAATCCTCCGGGAAGTTGCCCTTCTCTCAACCCCACCCCCAGGCAGCCCAGCCCAGCCAGGGACACATTTACCCAGAGGGATGAAGAAGAGAGGGGTCAGGTGTGCTGGACCTTTTCGCTCAGGCGTTTGCTCGCTGCCCTGGCCTGAAAGACAAGGTCGCTCTGACGCCCGCAGGCACCAGTAGCAGCTCTGGGCTCCGAAGGTGGGAGGGTTTCCTTTCACTTCCTCACACCAACCTGTCTGACACCTGGGACCAAACTACAGTTCCCACCAAGCCACGAGGCAGGAGGAAAAAGAGGAACCCAGGACCCAAAAGGAAAGTCCAGAGCCGGAGATCATTACCTGGTGGCAAAGGTGAGACAGCGGACAGGTAAGCAACAGGTGAGTCAGGAAGGTAGAGGCTGTAAAACAGGCAATGAAGGAACACCTGCAGGGCTCCTCGGGACCCCGGGGTGCACAAGTTGAGTTTAGGGGGCTTTTGTAGACGCCCCCAGGGCCTTATAGGGGTGGGGGTGGGGTGGAAGTAAGGCGTCTACTCTATTTAGAATAAGACACCGGAAGTGGAATGACTTTTCTTTAGTTGTAAAGTCTGTGGGGGAAGTGGCTCTCTCTGCTTTGTCCTCTGCTGGCTGATTGAGCCTTCAATGAGGTCCGAGCCCTGCGGGAGAAAGATGTTGCTGTCCGTAGCCTTGGAAACCCTGCCGGGCAGTTCTACTGATCTATTGGGTCACTGGGAGCGGGCTTGGGTTTCCTGGTTTTGGAGTTCAGAGCAGCCCACATGAGGGGTGGACCCCTCTTCATCTTTGAAAACTCTGCCTTGTACACACACTGTGTGTGTGTGTGTGTGTGTGTGTGTGTCCTTGCTTGTGCAAGGATACAAACTTGGCCTTTCTTAAGATTTTAGAATAAAACTGGAGGAGGAAACAGAGACGGGAACATAGGGCAGAAGGAATTTGCAGCATCAAATCTGGCCAACCCACGGGGGTAGGTTTCACTTGTTTTTATGAGATGTTTTGATGAGGAGGATGAGGAGTCTCACAGGGAGACTAGTTCATTGGCCAAGGATCCTGTGAGCATCCTCAGGACTGCTGTTACCCACCCGCCATGAGGCACCTCCTCTCATACCAGACCACACAGAATCCTTGTTGACCCTTTATAGAGGTTCTGAGAAACGGCTGGTGGGCTTGAACCGCCAACCTGCGGTTGCTTAACAGTCCAATGCCTGTCCTACAACACCACATGCACCAGGACTCCATACAGAGTTCTTAGTAATTTTATTATCCATTATAACCATAGCGTTATGGTAACTATAGTTCTAAGCTGCTTAAATGTCAAATTTCTTAGATTATCTGAACACTAACAACAAAACTATTTTGTAAAATCTTCTCCGTTGAATTTCCTTATTAGTAACTGACAGGAAAGCCTTTTTAATTTTTCTCCTTCTTCCCCTTTACTTATTAAGGAGACTTGGTGGCACTGTAGGTTTGCACTGGACTGTTAACCACAAGATCAGCAGTTTAAGCCCACCAGCCGCAATTCAAGAGCAAGATGAGGCTGTCTGCTCTCGTAAAGATTTACAACCTTGGAAACCCTATGCAGGGTCACTGTGAGTCAAGAGCAATTCGCTGGCAGGGAGATTTCCCTTTAATTACTACTCTATACTGATGAAACTCAATATGTTGTTAAGTGCTGTTGAATCAGTACTGACCCATAGCAACCCTGTATATGGTTTCCGAGTTGCAGCTGGTGAGCTTGAACCGCTGACCTTGCAGTTCAAGTCGACCTTGCAGTCCAGTGCATTAGCCCACAGTGCCACACCAGTACTCCAGGCTCAATATGGTGGTGGTGGTGGTTATGTGCCATGGAGTCGGTCCCACTCATAGTGACCTGTACAGGGTTTCCGAGGCTGTAAATCTTTATAGGAGCAGAAAGCCTCATCTTTCTCCAGCGAAACAGCTGATACTTTCGAACTGCTGACCCTGAGGTTCTCAGCCGGATTCGTAACCACTACTCTACCAGAGCTCCTGATAAGTAGTACTTGTTACTTACCACAATATTGTAGCTAAAACACCAGATCATTTAATACAGTCTGCAACTATAAAAACACAGCAGTGATGCTGGCAGTGCATACAGACACGCATGATTACATTTAACTGGACTTAGGAGTCCTGGTAACACCGTGGTCAAGCGCTCGGCTGCTAACCCAAAGGTCGGCGTTCGGACCCACCAGCTGCAGGACGGCTTGGAAGAAAGATGTGGCCGTCTGCTTCTGTAAAAATGACCATCTGGGAAGCTCTACTCTGTCCTTTAGGGTATTCTAATTCAAACCAACTCTAGGACAGTGGGCTTGCTAGGAAGCTGGGCTTTCAAAAAATGTCTTTGTTGTTAAAACTAATGACAGGGGTATTTGTTAAAAATAACAAATTTCTGCTGAAACTCTGCAAGAGTGTTACAGACAGTCACTTTGGTGGTGTTCTCCCTGAGCTGCACTGGCCGGGGAATTGGGAATCGAACCCAGGTCTCTGGTATGAAAGGCAAGAGTCTTCTCACAGAATTACCACCATCCTTACAGAGAATGAAGGAGGCTTTAGGTGCAGACGGCCTCCCTGAAGTCACGTGAAGCCATGTCAGCCACCTGGGATAGGTGTGGGCTTGATCAGGTGACTATGTCACCTGATGTGTTCTGCACCCCTGCACCCTCCTAAGTGATGCCACTTCCTGCTACTTGGAATATCTGAGTGACCGCCAAGTGGAAGAGAAGCTGGAATTTCAGGGGCAGGGTAAAGGCAGGATCAGTCACGGGAAACACCAGGGAGAAAGATTTCAGCCCATATGAGTTAGGGCTACCCAGTGAACGATGGAGTTTTCTTCAGGACGTCATGAATTCCTCATGATCAAAGATATTTAGGACTAGGGATATGAACAGTTAGCAAGTTCATCCGGTAACCAAAAGGTTGGAGGTTGAAGTTCATCCAAAGGCACCTCAGTAGAAAGACCTGGCCATCTATTTCCTGTAGAGCACAGATGTACTCTAACTCACAGGAGGTCAGTGACACCTCAGTTTGCTACTTAAACAATGAGAGTCCAGGTGGACGAGTGTTTCCCAAACCTAGGTGGTTGTCGGAATCACCTGGGAAGAGTGGAGTGGTTTTGTTAATTTGTCTGAGATGGGCTCCAGGAATGTTTCTGGTTTTCAAGAACTCCCCCAGGAAATTCTGAGACTCAGTTAGTTGGGGAGCCAATGTCCTCAGAAACCTGTAAGGTTCTGTTACCCCAGCCTAAGAGTCTAAGTATGCCACAAACCCCAGAAACATCTGACCCTACCACATTTTCATTTTAAATACTCTTAAAACCCTAATGTCTTGGTAAGAGAAAAATGAGGTACCAATCAGCATAAAGGACCACACAAAGCAGAATCCTCTGTCCAGTCTTATGGGTCCCTGTTACTGGTGGCCTGGACACCCTCATCCCCACCATGTGAAACCTACAGTAAATATCAGCCAGATGTGCCTCCAGCTGACATTGTGCCAGGAAAGTTCCCCAGGGCACTCCTGTGCCATATCCCGCTCTCAAGCACATGGACAGAGCCTGGGACACAGGGTCTCCATCTCTAGGACCACAACCCCTACTGTTGTCTGGCAGTGTCGACCCTGTTCTGGGCCCAGCAGGGATTGCTGCTGCTGTTAGCTACTACTGACTCAGCTTCCAACATGTGATGACCCTACACGCACAGCCCCTGTGGATACGGAACCAATGACTGTGATTGATTACGTATCCACAGGGTTTCTTTGTCTATTTTGGGAAGCTGATCACCAGGCCTTTCTTTCTCATCTTTCTGAGTCTAGAAGTTCCACTGAACTCTATTCAGCATCACAGCAACACCCAAGCTCCCCCGATAGTCAGTCTGTAGCTGTACCTGAGCTGCACTGGCCGGGGAATTGGGAATCGAACCCTGGTCTCTGGTAAGAAAGGCAAGAGTCTTCTCACAGAAGTACCACCATCCTTATAGAGAATGAAGGAGGTTTCTAGGTGCAGAAGGCCTCCCTGAAGTCATGTGAAGCCATGTCAGCCACCTAGGATAGGTGTGGGCTTGGATCAGGCAGCTTCCCGTAATGACCGGTGTTAGTGTCTTCCTCCCTGGAGAGTCCCCCATGAAACCCCTGGGCGCTGGCTGATGCTCATTGAGGCACGCTTTCTCCTAGGTCTGCTGCAGTGACCAGAGCTATGCCCTTCTCCAGCACAGTCAGGGCGGCGGCAGACGAAGAAAACTTCGACTATTTGTTCAAGATCATCCTCATTGGGGATTCCAATGTGGGGAAGACGTGTGTGGTACAGCACTTCAAGTCCGGGGTCTACACGGAGACACAGCAGAATACAATCGGGGTGGACTTCACCGTGCGCTCCCTGGAGGTCGACGGCAAGATGGTCAAGGTTAGAGGTGGTGGGCGTCTCAGGGACCTCAGCCAGAGCCCCTCACACCCACACACGTGCTCGAAGCACATCTCGTTTTATTGCCCGCAGCTTTATTGAGCATCATAGATGTGACATTGTTTACAAATCGAAGGTTTGTGACAAGCCTGCATTGAGTGACATTTTTCCAACCACATGGGCTCATTTCGTGTCTCTGTCATATTTTGGTCATTCGCAGTATTTCGATCTTTTTCATCATGCTATGATGTGGTGCTGTAGGATAAGCATTGGACTGCTAACTGCAGGTCTGTGGTTCAAACCCACCAGCCACTCCTCGGATACTCTATATAGGTTGCTACAAGTCAAGGGCACACACAACAACATGGCACACTTATAGACCAGAGCCTAGTGTAAACTTAACTTTATCTGCACTGGGAAACCAAAATGCTTGTGTGACTCACTTTGTTATGCTATTTGCTTTATCAAGGTGGTCTGATACGGGGCCTGCAGCATCTCCAGGACCTCCCACTTGTTATTCTTAAGTGTCGTGAAGTCGATTCTGACTCAAGCTACCCTGTATAAGGTTTCCAGGTATTGCTACCCTTGAAGAATGAGGTGCATTATCATGGTGACAAAAACTTCCTTCGTACAACTTTCCTGATCCTTTTCTCACAAATACAGATTTCAGTTTTCTGAAACTCTATCAAGATGACCCCTTTTGAAATCCCAAAATAGTCTCCATAGCCTTCTGAGCTGACCTCTCTGCCTTGAACTGAAGAGCCTGACAGATCCCCTCGGAACCCACTGTTTGGGTTGGACTTTTTTTATAAAGGTACCTTACCAAGACTAAGACAAGTGTGTCACTGAGAGAATTTGCCTGCAGTCACCCGCGGATGGCAGACATGTTTACATTCATTTTGTTTGGAATGAAGCTGTGAACTGGATGACTAGGAACCCTGGCAGCAATATTTGTGGCCTCACCCTCATATATATTCTAAGGAGCCCTGGTAGCATAGTGGATTACGAGTTGGGCTGCTAACTGCGAGGTCAGCAGTTCAAATCTACCAGCTGCTTCAAAGGAGAAAGATGAGCCTTTCTGATGAAGATTGACTCAGAAACCCTATACAGAGTTTCTATTTGTCGGAACGGACTCAAAGGCACATAACCAACCACCAGCCAACCAATCATAATAGTGGCCTTGATTTTCATTTGGAAATAGGACTGCATTTTCTAAACTCTTGTATCCCGATGAGGTCGTGTGACCAATTGTGACTGAAGGCGCCCTGGTGGTGCCTGCTGGCCCCAAAGAGCAGTCATTCAATCTGTTTACGTAAGGATTTCCAACCTCAGCAGTCCTAGCAGCAGCTCCACTCTGTTCTCTAAAGTCACTATGAATTGCCAGCGACTTGCTGACGATGGGTTTGGAAGCAAACAGAGGAGTCCAAGTCCCTGGAAGTATTCTTAAAGGTAGGGGACATGTCCCTCTTCCTCCGTCGTCCTGCTGGCTGTAATCAGGATGTGGTGGCTCGCTGGCTTGGTCCATATGGTGCCTCAGGACAGGAAGCCACGAGAAGCATCAGAGGAGGATCCCACATCCCCGGCATGAGGTGCCCTTCTCAGTTCTGGAAAGACAGTTTCTGAACTTTTTGAACACAAGGAGAAATAAATCTTTCATTTAAATTTTAAAAAGTATTGGAGGACAGAAAATCAAGGCCATCTCTGGAGACGGCATCAGAAGGTGTCATCGTGTGGGCCATCACACGTGGGCAGCCTGAGTGGGCATCAAGAGTCACCATGCTTGCACATTTGGCCAGCGTCCTCACTTCTGCCTATGCATATACCAACAAGCAGGCCCCAAACTCTGGTCCTAGGAATGTGAAGTAAAAAGTTAAAAAAAACAGCAAAGCGCCCAGGACACATCAGGTCCCCATCTCTAACTATTGAATGCCTTAGATGGTGGTTCCCAAACCCAAAAGCACATCCAGCTTCTATCAGGGGCAACTGTAAATACTGGTTTCTGGGCCCCATCGCTGGCCCTGCTGAACCTGCATTTTAGAAGGGAGACCCCAGAAACTGCCTTCAGGATTCTGGTGCGGATTATGATACACGTTCTCCATCCCCTGGTTCTGCAGATGCAGGTGTGGGACACGGCCGGCCAGGAGCGCTTCCGGACCATCACCCAGAGCTACTACCGCAGTGCCCACGCCGCCATCATCGCCTACGACCTCACACGGCGCTCCACGTTCGAGTCTATCCCGCACTGGATCCATGAGATTGAGAAGTATGGCGCGGCCAACCTGGTTATTATGCTGATCGGTAAGGTTTCCCTGGAGCATCTTGACTGACTACATACACCCCCACCGCTTGAGATGCTGCACAATCTCACCAATGACTGACTACACCCTACCCTGAGACGCCACACACTCTCACCGACTCTGATTACAACCTGCACCCCGAGACCCCGTACAATGTCACCAATGACTGACTATACCCCACCGCCTCCAGAGACCCCGTACAATCTCACCGACGACGGACTACACCTATATTTTGAGACATTACACAACTGTTACTACGTACACCTGCTGAGACCTTACTGCAATCTTCCCAGTGACACAGTGTTGCTCACCAAAGCCTCAGCCACACACAGTGGACAGAACAGCCGTCCAGTCGAATACCCCGAGCCACGTCTCTGTCCTTGCTCTACTGTTTTCATTTTGTAGTTGCAGTTGTCTTTCTTCCCTCCGACGTTCATCACGGTTTACACGTGGCAGCTTAACTCGGGCAACATGTTTTATTTAGGCTTTGATACTCACAGCGTGTGTCCTTGTCCACCTTCACTGTGGAGTTTGCTAAAATGACAAGATCTCAGTCCCACCCCAACCCCAATCCAACCGCTGAACTCGAGTCCCTTCTGACTCCCAGCAACCTTGTAGGACAGAGGCCGTTATCCTTAGGAATGTAGATGTCCACGTCTTGGTGGGTTTGAACCATCAACCTTTTCGTTAATAACAAGCACTTTGCCCACTGCATCACCAGGTCCCTAGTGACTTAGAATCTTCATTGTTGCAGGATCCTAGATACTTCATATGCAAGTTAAATTTAGAAAAACTGGTCTAAACACCACCCAGGTGCCCTGGTGGTGCTGTGGGTTGGGTGTTGGACTGCTAACCGCAAGGCTGGCAGTTCAAATCAGCCAGCCGTGTGTCGGGGGAAGATGAGGTTGGCTGCTCCCATAAAAACTGATAGTCTTGGAAACCCTCTGTCCTACAGGCCCACCATCATGAGTTGGACTCGACTGGAGGGCAGCAGGTTTGGTTCTGGTTCTGGTGGGCATAGGCCCAGCTGTGAAGGCCCAGCAAAGCAGGAGCCCAGGGGAGCCGGGCCCTGGACAGGCTGAACAAGTGGGTCATGTTGTTACCACCCACCCGGTCCTCTGTATCTGTGGTCTCGTTCTAACAGGAGGACCTGGGCTGGCCACGCCTCACACACCTGTCCTCCTTCCCAGAAGTCCCACCTCATGGCTCCTCCCATGCGGCTGCGCAGGGAGGCTGCAGCTCTGCACTCACACAGCCTGCGGCTGGGCCTTCGGCCTCAGCGTCCAAACCACAGGTGACTCAGGCAGAAGGTGACGCGGAGGCCGAGGGCCAGGATTTCCTAGGATCTCACCACGTTCTCTTCGTGTTCACCACTGCCCCTTCCTTGCTGGTTCCCAATGGTCACTGTGCCCAGCTTCCCGCTCTCTGCCAGCCATGGTCCACAGGAGGAGCCCCTGCCCGGTTCACTGGGCTACTCCGTTTCTTCCTACCAGCGTCTCTCTCCTGCAGACGACTGCCCCCAGCCCTTGGTGGCCACTTTAACCCCATAAAAATTACTGTGCCTTGACGTGGACCTCACTCCAACCACTCCCAGCACCACCACCCCACAGTGTCCCTCTACAGAAAATCCCCAGTGCCCCCCCTCAAGATGACATGTAAGAATATGCAATGTGAGACCCCACCTGCATGAAATGTCTGAAGAGGCAAATCTGACCCAGAAAGGAGCAGTGCCAACCAGGGGACTCAGTGCTGGCTGGGGGCTGAAGGTGGGAGAGTTGAGAAATGGACTGTGATGAGGGCTGCAGACACATGCCACATGCCACACATTCACATGTGCACACACATGCATATGCATGGGCGTGGTCACACAGCAAATGCACGCACACACGACACACTCACCACAATCTGCATGTGCACACATGAATGCACACATATATATGAGTGTGTGGACATGACACATGCACTCAACCATTCACACACACACATAGGCATGCACACATGCACAGGCAAGCACATGTATATGATACAGCTTCATGTGCACACATACGAATGCACATGTGTGGGCATGTACACACAACACATACCCACACCACATTCACGTGCACACAGGCATGCACACATGTGTGGGTGTGTGCACACAACACACATGCACTATATTCACGTGTGAGCACATGTCACACTACACACACACATGGATGTGCACATGCAACACATGAATACACACCATGTACACACCTTGCACCCATATACACAGACATGAACATGTGCATGGACAAACACAACAAATGCACACACCACACATTTGCATATGCACACACAGGCACACCACACACACTGGTGTGTATACGTGCATTTACACATGTGTACAGGTGTGCACACAGATAGTTGCACTCTACACATGCCTCTATGTGCGTGTGTGTGTGTGAATGGTTGAGTGCGTGTGTCATGTCCACACACACACATCTACCTGCATATGCATACACACCACAGAGACATGGACGTGGGAACACATTGACAGGCTCTCACATATATACATGGGCACACGCAACAGGGACAGACTCAGCACACACACAGGATGGGTTCAGACACTCTGCTCCCAGCTCACACCCCTTCGGGCCACACTGAGCGTTGTCCTGCTCCTCCCAAAGCCCCTGCGCATTGGCCAGACAGTTCCCTGGCAGCCCCATCGAGTCTCACTTGAGGTGTGAGTGCACAGAATGTGGTGCAGTGGGGTGTCTGGTCAGTGGTGAGGTCACAGCTGAGCCCCAGAAGCCTGGGTGAGGGAGCGATGTCCTGACAGCCAGCTCATTGCTTCCGGACGGATGCCGCTAGGTTGAAAAGCATGTTGTTGCTGTTATGTGCCATCGAGCTAATGCCAAGGGAGAGGGTGGAAGTGCCACACCTGGGGTTTATGGGAGCGGGCAGCCTCATTGTCCTGCAGAGCGGCTGGTGGGCTTGAACTGCCAAGAACTTAACCCACGGTACCACCAGGGTTTCTTCAGAAGAGTCACGCTCTTCAGTGAAATAATCTTCATGGAAAAGGAGCAGAGAGGCAGATGGAGTCAATTTACAGAGCTCACCTCCAGGACTCAGACTGACCAAGCCTTTGAGCGAGGCTTGTGGCTAAAGCATCTGTGGGGTGCAGTATTAGGTGCTGGACTTCTAACTGAAAGGTCGGTGGGCTTGAATCCACCAGCCACTTTGCAGGAGAAAGAGGTGGAGATGGCAGCCTTGGAAATGGAAGTGGGTTTGGCTTGGCCCAGTTTCTGCCCTGGAAAAAAATCTAGGCTTTCCAGAGATATTTCTGCTTCTTAAGAGACAAACCACTCTTCTACGCCTTACATGCTCAGAATGGGTCTGTTAATTACCCAAACACTCTGGACTGTCTATTCCACATTTATGTAGACATGCTTCTAAAGGTTCTCTTAAAAACAGTGGCTTCTCTCAGCAGACTGTGCTCCTCTTTCCCTCCCAGGAAATAAGGCTGACCTGTGGGACCAGCGGAGTGTCTTGTTTGAGGACGCCTGTACACTAGCCGAGAAGCATGGGCTCCTAGCGGTGCTGGAGACGTCAGCCAAGCAGTCCCGGAACATAGATGAGGTCTTCCTGCTCATGGCCAAAGAGCTCATCGCCCGCAACAGTCTGCACCTGTGTGCGGAAGGCGCCCTCAGCAGCCTGCCCCTGGATTCCAGCCCCGTCCTCCTGGCCCAGGGTTCCAGCGGGAGGACCCACTGCACCTGCTGAATGCCCACCAGTGGGCCATCTATGAGTGACCTGTCCTGGCTCCTAATTGCTCTGGCCTCAGTCCACACCACAGGCCATAGCCACCGCCTCTGAGGGCAGGGACAGCACTCTGTCCTCCATGTTGCCCGTGAAACCAGCGGGGCCGGGGTAGGTTTTTTGAGCCTTCCCCTGTTCCCTGCTTAGTTTTGTCTGTCACTTGAAAGATGAGGCTAGAGAAGGAAGGGAGAAAAAGGATAGCGCACGCGTGCAAGAGAGAGAGAGCGATGTTCGGAACATTTTGGAACGTTCTGGAACAGCTCAGGCATGGGAGCATGGGGGAAAACCCTGACAGCCCCCCCTCAATGTCACTCTAACACCAATACCATTTGCCAACTGGCCAGGGGCCCTTTATGACAATGAGCGGGAGCGGGATCTCGTTGCTCTAGGGGGATGGCTTTGAACACCCTCCTGGGATGTGGGAGGGGCGTGCTGTCTGCTGGATCAGAAATCGTTGCTGAGATGAAATGAAACGGATTCGCTGCTGAAGTGTGAAGCCCATTTGTTACTTCTGTGGGGGTGTTGTTGGGAGAAGTGAGGTCACCTCTGCTTCCAGACTCAGGAAAGGCAGGAGGGTCCGGAGTGGCACAGACACTGAACTCACTCAGCTGCTAACGGAAAGGTTGGAGGTTCGAGTTCACCGGAGGCACTTGGAAGAACGGCTTGGTTTTCCTTTTGTCATTTCTTCATCCCTATACGGGGCTGCTATGGGTCGGAACCGACTCGACAGCACTAAACAACAACAAAAAGGAGACTTCTCTTGTTGGTTGCTGTGGAGTTGATTCCATGTGTGTGCAGTGTAGAACTGCCCCGAGGGTTTCGACAGCTGTGACCTTTTGGAAGCAGATCCTCAGACCTTTCCTCAAAACACCTGTGGGGCAGCTCCCGGGTCACATACGTGGCATGGTGGTGGTGGTGGTGGTAGGAGAGGGAAGGAGCGGGTTCTGGAAGCTCCACTGAAGCCTCCTGCCAGTGGGTTATGGAACCGGAGTCTCCGGCATGGAATGCCACAACTCTACCATTGAGCCACGAGATACGACCAAAAATCAGCCAAACTCATGAGGACCCCTTGCATCACAGGGTAAAAGGGCTCTGTAGGGTTTTCTTGGCTGTGAGCAGGTTGCCAGGCTTTTCTTCCACTGCACCACTGACTACCTTTAGGTTAGTTGTTGAATGTCAACCATTTCTGCCACCCAGAGTCTTACTGAGAAGGGTCCAAACCTACTGTTGTCAATTTGTATTCCAGCTGATGGGTTGATGGGCTTGAACTGCCAACCTTTCAGTGAGTATCCAAGTGTCTAATTACTGCATCGCCTGGGCTCCTTGAGAACTACAGGGTGATTGAAAAAAAGAACATTTTTTAAAAACTGCATTGCTCACTCCTGAGGTAATAAATGTTAAGTGCTGCCCAGCGTGTTCCAACTCCATAGTGACCCTGTGTAGGAGTTCTGAGAAGCCACTGTTGGGTTTGAACCGCTGACCTTTCTGTTAGCAGTCTGATGCTTATCCTACAGTGCCACACCAAGATTCTAGGAACTACATGGGGTGTGTAAAATGTAGTGAGGCCAGCTGTGAGGACTGGACCCATGCTGTGGAAGCCTTCACTGGGTCTCAGAGTCCCCGGCAGCCACAGTGCACACCTTGTCTCTTTCAAGGTGCGGAGACCAGGTGGGTCACAGACAAGCATCTCAGTGCAATGCTGGCTGAGGTCTGGTGGCCCCCATGAATTTTCTGATACCCTTCCCCAATAAAACAAAATGCTGACTTGGCATTGTCCTAGTCCTCTGTCCTGGATTTGTTAATTTCCCTGACATTTGGGTAGCACGAGCTATGGTAGCGTAGTGGTTACGAATTGGGCTGCAAAAAACCGCAAGGTCAACAGTTCGAAACTAACAGCGGTTCCGTGGGAGGAAGATGAGGCTTTCTGCTCCTGTTAAGATTTACAGCATCGGAAATCCTGTCCAGGGTCGCTATGACTTGGAACCGACTCCACGGCACTTAACAATTCACCTCCCCAAAGGAGGCCTGGTGGCACAGTGGTTAAGCATTTGGCTGCTAGCCAGAAGGTGGGCAGATGGACTCCACCAGCCGCTCCTCAGGAGACACACCTGGTTACCTGCTTCTGTAACTAGCACGGCCAAGACAGCCCTGTGGGGCCATTCTGCTTTGTTATGTGCTGTCACTGTGATCCGGAGGCAGGCGACAGCATGCAAGCAGCTCCCACACAAGGCCCTTGGGAGTCCCCAGCTCCTCAGCGCCCCCTTCTGCCACACACGTAGAGTTCCCCAAACTTCTTACCCTTCCTGACTCTTCTACAGGCAGAACATGAAAGATCACAAACACACAAAGGCTGAAATACACAACACTGCGTATTTCTACCCCCTGCACACCAGGACTTAACATGTCAACACTTAAAATGCAGTCACTTGAATTTGAGATGAACTCTAAAAGGACATAAATATCCTAATTGAAATGTTTACATTGATTTTAATGCCTGCTGGTCTGCTCCTGTAAAGATGATAACTTAGCGAACCCTACGGGGGTAGTTCTGATGTCACATGACAAGTTGACAGCATCCAATGGGAGCAACTGTTAAAATGATATCTCTTGGACATATCGCATTAAGTAGAATATTATAAATCAGTTCCATCTATTGTTTTCTCATGGGGCTGCTGGACAATGTAAACGTGCACGTGTCGCCCACAGTATACTTCTACTGGATGTTGTTAAGAGCTGTTGAGTCGGTTCTGACTCATTGCCACCCTGTACAGGATTTCCGAGGAGCAGTTGGTGGGTTTGAACTGCCGCCTTTGTGGTTAGTAGCTTATCCTGCAGCGCCACACCAGGCCCCCTCTATTGAATAGCATGATTAATAAAATCATGCTTTTCCTAGTGGGCAAGGGATGCTTGTTACAGACCCTTGAGACCCGTGACTGGCAGAGTCACAATCTGAGGAGATGGAGGCAGAAATCCACGTCAAACAAGCTAGCGGGTGATTCTTCTCCACAGCAACACTGTGAACATAGGGGGAGCCCTCCATGTGATGGGCTGGCACAAACCAAACATTGGGGAGATGATTCAAGACCAGGTGGTGTTTCATTCTGTTGTATCGTGAGAATGAATCAGCTTCACGGCAACTGACAAGTCAAGGTAAGGTTAAGGCGGGAGTGGGATCAGTCAGTGATTTTCAGTGATGGATCTTTGCAGTTGACATGAGCAACCTCTCTTCAGGAAACACTGGGGAAACCGAGCTGTACACCCAAACAGATGTGGCTCTTTCAAATGCCTGTGATTATGCTAAAGAAAGGGTTAAACACAGCAGGTCTTCCTGGGGCAGACCAGAATTGTCAGCCACCAGCAATTATGTGCCCACTGTGGTGACGAAGGTGAGGAAAAGGAGAGAGAGCGAGCCGGCAGCAAGATTGGGCAGCCCCAAGAGTAATGTCAACTTCGCCCTCCCCATGCCCACTGCTCTTCCGGCCTTTCTCTGCACACAAACCTTAACCTATAATCTGAAGAAGTCATCAGCTTCCGGGACTGTGCATTCTGCAGTCATTATCTGGTCTACAAACAGGTTACACTTGGGAACCAGGTCACCAGCATCCCATCAGCCTGTCATTAGGTAGCCTGGGGTTCTGGAGAAATGACAAGCTGCAACAAAACCCATAAAGGCTGTTGGAAGGGCCTCCAAAAGAAAGGCTGTGCTGAACGAGGGTTTGCGGCTCCTGTTGTCGTTGGTGTGAGGTCTGACTCACGGCGACCCTGTAGAGTGTTTCCAAGGAGTTGCTGGTGGGGTTGAACTGCCAACCTTGAGGTTAGCAGTTCAGAGCTGATCCTACAACAACACACCCAGACTCTCACAGTTTCCGAGCAGTGGCTGGTGAATTCGAACCGCCGGCTTTGCATTTCAAACTGACCTTGTGGTCCAGTGCTTACCCTACAGTGCCACTCCTCTAAAACCAGCTATACAGCTGTGGGGTGAGGAGATCATGCTCGCTGGGTGCTGGGCGTGTGTCTCACAGCCCCAAAGGCGCATAGTTGATAACAAGTGAATTCTAGGAAATCAAGTTCCAAAAGAGGACAGAAATGATCGGCTGTCTCGATATTTTGTCTGCTGGTGTCAAATACGTTTCCATATGTGGGGAACTCTTTCTGGTAATGTTTCATTCTTTTTAGAGGGCTTCTGAATCTCCTCTCCCTCTTCCATTGATTGTTGCTGTTAAGTACCATCGAGTCAGTTCTGACCCATAGTGACCCTGTATAGGGTTTCCGAGGAGTGGCTGGTGAGCTTGAACTGCCGACCTTGCAGTTTGAACGGTTTTGCAGTGTGATGCATTAACCCACAGCGCCACACCAATAGTAGTAGTCATAATACCACAATAACAGTAATTATGACAAATACACATAGCAGTTCCTATGTGCCTAGCATTGGCCCAAACTCTTTTATCTATACGAATATAGCTTTTTTGCCAACTATGTTTTGAAGGAGATGCTGTTTATAATTCCTATACTTCAAAGGGAAGGAGCCCTAGTGATTCTGTAGGATAAGCACTGGGCTGCTAATCACAGGTCGGTGGTTTGAGCTCATCAACCACTCTGTAGGAGAAAGATAAGGCTTTCTGTTCCCGTAAGATTGACACCCTAAGAAACCCTATACAGGATGGCTGTGAGTCAGAGTCAACTCAATGGCAAAGGGATACTTACATGGGCGGGGGGACTGGTGGTGTCGTGGTTGAGCATTCCACTGCTGAATGATTGGCGGTTCTAACCCACCAGCCTCTTCACAGGAGACATGTGCTAGTCTGCCCCTGTAAACCCTACTCGGTCCTACAGTGTTGCTAGGAGTTGGACTGGGGTTACGGTTCAGTGATGATGATATTCATTTTTCATTTAGCAGGAATAAAAACTATCCACACACATCATGTGGTTTTAGAATAACTACTTGCAACAGACGTCGGAAGCCTTCTTATCTAATTTAGAAACAGAAGTCAAAATTACAAAAAGAGAATGCCTGACATTAGTAAAAAACCAATCAGTTGTTTTTTAAAAGCACAAAACACAAGCATTCACAGCCACAGATGGCACTGTTGTCACCTAATCTACATTTATATTTTTGTCTCCTATCTCCAAGGCCCACCGCGGGTCACTTTAAAGTTCAAGCGCTGCTCTCACATAACTAAAAAGCTGAGCATCACTTAAGTGGTATCAACTCAGTACGTCTTCACTTACAAAATGAAGCATTTCATTCTAAGTGAATTTGAACACACGATCTTTGATAATTTATCAGCCAAAGTATGTTAAGTATAATTATTATGTACCAGGCAAAACCATGGAAACGGTTTACAGTCCCCAAGGGGAGTCACAAAGATTAAGAAGATGTAGCACTGTAGGATAAGCACTGGAATTTAAGGACCCCTAAACCGACGGCACTTAACAACAACAGACTACAGGCTCTGGTAGCGTAGTGGTTACGAATCGGGCTGTGAACCGCAAGGTCAGCAGTTTGAAACTACCAGCTGCTCCGTGGGAGAAAGATGAGGCTTTCTGCTCCCGTACAGATTTACAGCCTCGGAAACCCTGTACAGGGTCGCTATGGGTCAGAACCGACTACAAGGCTGACCGACTCCACAGCACACAACAACAAACTACAAGGCTGACAGTTTAAACTCAGGGTCACTAATGAGCCAGATCCCACCGATGGTGCTTAACATGAAGAAGAAACAGCTGAGAAAGGGGCTTATGTTAAGGGGAGTGAAGGGAAGGTTGGGAATACTGGCTTTAAAATAGCCAACCAATTCTTTTTTTTTTTTTAATTTTTATTCTGAATTGAGTGAAGGTTTACAGTCAAGATCATTAGCTTTACATTCAACAAATCAGACACTTTGTTTCCACTCAAGGATTACAATCTCCTTGCAACAAGTTACCTAACTTCTTCCCAGCAGTTCCATTTGCATCCCACCCGCCTTTCCATCCCTTCTCAACTGGCCTTAGAAAAATGTTGCCCTTTCCATGGGGAGCACACCTCACTGGTGCTGTTATTAAATGCCATCTAGTTGATTCCAATCCATAGGGATCCTGTGTAAGGTGTCCTAAGAGCGGCTGGTGAGTTTGAACTGCCGATGCTGCGGTTCAAGCCGACTTTGCAGCCCAGAGTATTAACCCACTGCGCCACACCAGGATTCTCTCCTGCCCCTTATAAACCCATCTACTGGTTGGCTGAAAATTGGGCCACAATGGTGAGTTCCTTTCCAGACCTGAAGGGTGGTCAGTGGCCAGTCTTGGGTTCCTCCAGTGTCTATCTGACCAGTAAGCCCACGTCATTTTTTTTTTTTTAATAGCCCATTCCTTTCCAATGCAGCATTTCCATTAAATTTTTGTTCTGCTCACTAGAGAAAAAATTAAATTTCAGAAAAGTGTAAAGAATAGAGTCTGCCTGGGGTCCCAAGTAGTAGCTTGTTTAACATTTTTCAAGTATATAGGGGCTTCAGAAAGTTCATGGAAAAAATTCCATTATCTTTCTTTTTTTCCATGAATTTTGTGATGTCCCCTGCTTAGGTTCCGTCTCTTCTCTTATTCACTTATTTCCAGTACTGTTGTCGCAGGCACAGTGCAGTGGCTGACCCTGGCAGCCCTCCCTCGAGGAGGAGATAAGTCCTGCCTTTGTCATTTCCATTCTAAGGGCCTCAGTGTTCCCACCTGGGACAAGGCTGGCCATTCTGCTGCCTTTCTGCGTGCAGCTGTGGCAGGACCACACGGGCAGGCTGCCATGTCTGGATCTTGCTAGATAGGCCCTTTCAGGTTTCCAAGTCCTTCTTTCTCTTAACTTGTGACTTGAGTGAAGACTGACCTAGATCATCACTTATCCCCCGCTTGCGGTGACTCTGGTTTCCATTCCACCCACCTTCTCAACTGCTGTCTCCAGGCAAATGTTGCCCTTTTGATCTTGAATGGTTCACCATTCCCAGAAGACCATTCCCAGAAGAGCAGGGTTATTACAGTCCTGGGGTGGCGCTGTGGGTTAATGCGCCAGACTGCAAAGCCCTTTGAACTGCAAGGTCGGCGGTTCAAGCTCACCAGTCACTCCTCGGAAACCCTATACAGGGTCGCTAGGGGTCGGAATCAACTCGACGGCACTTCACAGTAACATATACTTATCTGGTAGCGTAGTGGTTATGAATCGGGCTGTGAACCTCAGGGTCAGCAGTTCCAAACTACCAGCTGTTCCAAGGGAGAAAGATGAGGCTTTCTGCTCCATTAAAGATTTACCACCTCGGAAACCCTGTTATGGGTTGCTACGAGTCGGCACGGCACATAACAATCTACCGTTGAACTGAAAATTGGACCAGGAGGCAGTTGCTCCTTACCAAACCAGCAGGGTGGTGTGGGCTCAGGGACGAAGTCCTTATCAGTAGATTGGTCTTTGAAGTAGATATGTTGTTAAGTGCTGTCAAGTCAGCTCCGACCCATAGTGCCCACAGCGATCCTGTATAGGGTTTCCAAGGAGCCCTGGTATGGCGCTATGGGTTGATGCACTGGACAGCAAGCAATTGGTTTGAACCATAAGGTTAGCGGTTCAAACCCACCAGCTGCTTCTTGGAAACCGTATCCATACAGGGTTGCTATGGGTCAGAACCAACTCGGTAAGCAGACCACTTAGACCACACCACCAGAGACCTGGTCCCAAACATACACCTCACCTCCTGCGCCTCAAGATACCTGAGACTTGCCGACAGCATCGCCGTTTCTCTCCCACCCAAATCCCCCACCTCAATATGGTCACTTTCCCTCACCCTTGGGGGTGAGACGAGTCGCTGCCACAGGGTGACCAGTAGCAGCTAAAGGTGGATTTCTGACTTTTCCAGAAGGGTGCAGTGACCTTTACCTGGACAAGAAGCCCAGCTGTGCACACTTGTGAAGGAAGCATTCCCAACAGCCTCTCCCATTACTTAGTGTCTTTAAGACCCACAGGCTATTTTCACGGGTTGTCTGCAGGTCTTCCAGGAGGGGGAAGAGGGGTCTGATTTCGTTCATTAATAATGACTTCAAAACCCCACCTTTTGCCGAGTGTGTGAAGGAGGCACCTGGGAGTGGAGAAGTGGCGCGCCAGTGCCTTTGGCTGAGGAAAGTGGCCCAGAGTTGGGGCTTCCAGAGATCTGAGGGGCCCGCTGGTAGGGCTACCCACAATTCCCAGCCAAACGGTGGAGAAACCAGTGCTACAGCACGTGCTCTACACATTTCAGGACGCGCGCTACACAACACACAACACCAGCTTGATTTCTGTTCTGTTTTGTTTTTGTTACTGTTTTATTTGGGAAAAGTGCTTCTTACAAAAGGGCAGCTGCAAAATACAGAGACCTCTGCGACAACTGTTTTTTTTAAAGTGAAAGGAGGGGTGGATCCAAGGAGTCACCGCAGTAGGTAGGCAACCCAGAGCATCTCCAAGTCTTTCTCAGGAAACAGAGCAACAAAGTGCACACTCCTGACCAACTCAACTAGAACTGCTGTCCTTGTGCCCTGGTGGTGTTGAGCGCACTCAGGACGGTGAACCCTGGCTCCAGCAGAACTTGGAATGGTTCAGAATCACATTTGCCTGCCCGCCTGCCTCAGGGGTGGGATGAGATCAATCCCCACAGAAACCAACACAAAACCCTGCGAGGAGGCCCATGTTCTGAAAGCGTCTGTACCGAGAATTTAGGAGATCATGAACCATTAACCAAAATGGTGTCTCAGAGGCCGTTCTGTGCTAATATCAGGGATGACCTGATGGCCTTAACCTCTAGGGCCCACAGAGCTAGCACTGCGCTATTAACTACAAATACCAACAGACTGCTCGGCTCTTTTAAGATCTATCGCCTCACTAGGTTGACTTAGCACTAAGTCAGCTCTTTGCGCTAAGGCTACTGGGGCGGCGGCATCTAGGCCGGGAGGAGGCTTATTGCACGCCAGCGCAAGCCCAGACACCTTCCTGTGCTGCGCTGCGTTCTCCCAGCCAACCTTTCTTACAGGCGTGTGTTCCTTCACAAGCTTGCCACCATGCTACACATACGGGGGGAGGGGGGGAGGGAGGGCATCTCCACACAGCCACACCTGGTGCAGGCCACTAGTAGTATTGCCCACGTGCAACGCATCAAAGTGCACGTGATGGGACTTCCAGGGTGGGGACACAGGAAAACACGTGCATGTGACCTTTCCCCGTGGGGGCCGAGGTCACCTGCCACTCCTCGTCCTGAAGTGTGCTCAAGGCTTTCAGTCTGAACCTGGGGTCCTCCCAAGTTTGCACACACTCCCCTAGAGCGGTGCGAGTCTGGCGGAACACAGACGACGCAAACAAACCTACACTAACTGTCTGACAGTTAATTCATATTACAAAACAACTAACTTCAAGATTTATTTTTGTAACTTTTTTTTCAACAGAGGAAACAACACACTCCTGGGGCGCTGGGATGGGGGGGGTGGGGACGCGGGGCAGACGGGGTGGGGAGGGCGGAGAGAGACAGACCCTGGGAAGAGCACCTGGGGCGAGCGGGCGGGCCTGCCTAGGAGACACTCAGGCCCCGCCACGCACCCCGGGAAGAGCTACTGGCCGAGGCTCAGAGCAGTCTGTGCGCCGCCGCTGCCGCTATAGATCCAAGTCATAAAAGTCCTCCAGCTCATCGTGAAACAAGTCCCACTCGTCTTCAGAGTCTGTCATGTCGTCGTCCCCACCTGCGGCCAAAAGCATAAGCAACATCTCGCCCAGCTCAAAGGTGACCACCTCTTCTTCGTCGTCGTCAAAAGGGTAGCTGCTCTCTCTTTCCTCAATGAGCTCCCAGAAGTGGTTCCTTCGTTGGGCCTGTAAAAAACAAGGCCGTGATAGGGACGCCAGTGCCCAGCTGCATCTTCTATCCTGCGGCTGCTACGACGAGCCGGACTTCTGATTTAGGGTCTCCCTCTCGGGGAGACGCCAAGCACTGGACTTGGACCTGCTCTCACATCCCTCCCAGGCTGCGGAGGCGTCTCTCCTCCTCACACATCTATAGTCTCACTCCCAGGCCTCAGCGTCCATCTTCGCCTTCCCCGACCCCAACCTGTGCGGACTCAACGGGCAGCGAGGTGTTTCCCCTCCTTTAAGAAAAATGGGAGAGTTACCCGGCATCTGCTCGATGCTCCCACTTTCTGCCTGGGTGGCTCCTCTCTACGGCCATCGGGATAGGCGTGCTTGTAAAAACAGTTCCCTCCAAACGGACAGCTCCCACGGCCTTCGTCAAAATACCTGCACGCCTTGTTGCTGGAAAGGAAAATACCGCAGCCCTTACTCACACTGGCCACAGTCCCCAGCCCTCCCGGGTGTGCCCTGAGACACACCGACGCTTCCAGAAGGCCAGTACAACGCTAGCATGGCCTGGACTCGGCCTGGACTCGGGATGTGGTCGGGCCCGGAGCACGCACCCCAAGGACTGTACTACAGCAGCACGCACAGTGGGCAAATGCTGGTAGGGTGGGGGGAGGGGGAGACCCAAGAGGCGGGTCCTGGGAGGTAACTAACAGGGGAGGTCCTGGCAGGTAACTAACAGAGGGGAGGTCCTGGCAGGTAACTAGCAGAGGGGAGGTCCTGGCAGGTAACAAAGGGGAGGAAGGAGGAGAAGTAAGGCAGCAGTGCTCTTCCAGTGAGCCCAAAGCATCATGGGGCTGGAGCTGGAGGAGAGGCTGCGGCGCTCATACCTCATGGCCTCCTTGTATTTCTGCATGAGCTTCTGCTTCTCTTCTTTCTCCTCCACCCAGTACTCACTTGGAATGACAAAGTTAGATGTGATCCGGCATTCGGGGCAGGACCTGGGAAACAATGGAGAGGCTGCAGTGCGAGTCCCCTTCCAGGCTCAAGGACACAGCCGGGGGGCCACGCAGCCCGCTTCAAAACCAATGGGAGGTGGGTGGGCGGTTCCTGCAAGGGTTCCACACAGTCACCCAACTGCCCACTCTTGCCAGGCAAGACAAACATGCCTTGTTAACTCAAGGGCTAGCCAGCTTGTTAAAAAAAAAATTTATATCAATAACTTAGGTGGAAAAAAACAAAAACAAAAAACAACAAAAAAGACATTTCACACAGACTCCTTTTTCTTTCGTTTAAATAAATTTATTTCTTGCAGCTTTGCTCTGTTTAGATTATGCCGTTTTGTTCAGTTATGAGAACAATCTTTAGAGATGGTGGATTATTGGCTAGCTTTAATGGATGGAAGAGGAAGGTGGAAAAATGTCATACGTCAAGAAACATAACATTCAGAGCTACGTACGTCTGTTCACTCAGCCTCGACTGGCTAATGCACTGAACACAATCCCCTCAGAGAGAGTACAAAGGTTCTACGAACGGATACACAGGGCTTCCTCCTCCAAATTAAAGTCGATAGACCAACTAATCTAAAAGCTAGCTGAGATACAAAGAAGACGCCCCCAGTTCAAGATAAAATGCATGCATTTAAATGTGGTCCATCTGGTTGGAAGTTGGCACAAGATACTAAATTCTTCCCCCAAAGAGAAAGCACAAATGGAGATGGGGAGGAGTCTCACTTTATGATCTTGCTCTCAAACTGCTTAGCACTCCTCCACTTGCGGATGCACCTGAGACAGTAGGTGTGGTTGCAGTTGGAGAGAATTCCAAAGCGGCGCTCGCTGGGGTTGGCCTTCTCGTAGACCACCTCCATGCAGATGCCGCACACCATGTCCTTGCTGCGTTGCACCGCAAACGAGAGCTCCATGTCCTTCTCGTGGGCCTCAATACAAGACTGCAGAGAGTGAGAGACACGAGGGGTGGTCAGATCATGGGACGCCCAAGGGACGGGACCCACACTCAGAGTCATACTATCAACTGAAAGCGCAGGAGGATGTCCCCCCCTCCCCCCCAAGGAAACGCAAGCTTTCTTCACAAGTGAGCTTGGGCGTGCTGACGGTCTGGGGCCAACTATGGAGACTGTTTCAGGTACAACGTGAGCCAGTTCTCAGTCTCATCCTACAGCTCAACATCACTGTTAGCCTACCTCAAGGACAGTATTCATATTGTGTGGCCTTTCTAGTTTATAGACAGAAATGTTCTTACTTAAGAGTCTAGGCCCGCTTTATAATCTGTCAGAAAAGATTAAGCGTGACAGAAACTAAAATTTATTAGAAGACTGTTCATGGCAACTGCAGAGTTCACACAAGTCTTCAAAAAAAAAAAAAAAGCAACAGTTTGATTAGGACAATTCACGTACCTACACCAAACTCATCCACTAAAAGTAGTACATTCACAGAGCTGTGCAGCCTCAGCCCAGAAGGAAACCCCACCCCTCCAGCTCAAGGTAAGAACAAATCGACTTGGTCTCTGGGATTTTGTCAGTTCTGGGCATTTCCTATAAATGGCATCAGCACTTGGTCAGCATCTTGTTTTCAGGGTCGTCCCTAGGTGATGCACCCCAAGGCTTCGCTCTCCTTGGTATTCCTGCAGAGCATTTCCCACTGTGTGCAAAGACCACACATGGTTTACCATCGGTCAGCTGATGGGCATGTGGGAATGCAGCCATACATGCTGACATCCGAGTTTCCTTTCATTTTCCACATGCCGGGTTTTTGTTTCCCCTCAATTGTGACCACTCTTAGCGTTGATGCTGGCCAGTCCATTTCTGTGTGGATGTTACATCTTTTCTTTAAGAAACATGCTCATTACCAAAAATATGAAAAATGTAGAGAAACTGAAAGGTCAGTGTAATCCCACATAACCATGTAGCCCCTTTCGTTTCTTTTCTTGTCCTTTACTAAAAGCCTTTTCATGTTCACCACCAATCCTTAAAGGTAGGATCCATCAGTCTCGGTAACAGTGTGGTGATTCCAAGTCCTCAGGAACGTCCAGGACAGAGTGGAGTGGCTCCACAGCTACTTCCCACAGCCATAAGTCCTTCTAGAAGCAGACCCTTATCTCTCTCCCAGGAATCACCTGCCTCACCACATTATTACAAGAATGGGTTTTTAAAAAGTGGCCTTACAGATAAGGTCTGTAATGCAGTGTCTCCCCAACAAAAAGTTCATCCTGAGGGTGAGTTTCCAAGTCAGTAAGAACCACCCCCACATTTCACTGGAGGGATTTAAGATGGTGTCACCACTTTGGAAAACAATTCAGTGGTTGCTTACATGTTAAACACGGAGTCACCATGTGACCCAGTATTAGGTCTGAGATGTACTGAAAATGTACTGAACGAGCCATGAAAACATGATGCCGACTGAGTCCATCAGTTACAAAAGGCCACACATATATTGACTGACCCTACCTCCGTGAACTGTCCAGACTAGGTAGGGAAATCCAGGGAGAGAGAAAGGAGTGAGTTATCACCAGGGACTGGTAGGAGGGAAGAACAGGGGCCTGGGGTTTCTTTTGGGGGGAATGACAACGTTCCAAATTAGACAGGAGAATAATAATGATTGTACAATTCTGTAAATACACTAAAACCAATGAAACACACAGTTTAAGCGAGTCAACAGTTCATTGTGTGGCTTATACTTCAAAAAGCAAAGCACCTGCCTATCTGTGGTTCTTGAAAAGGGACGCTGTGAGAGAGGAAGCCAGGCTGCCATCACCCTACCATGCTAACCATCCAGCATCTCCAAAACGGAGTGACCACCTGGATGAAGGAACCCACAGCTCACACGTAGGGACACAAACTTACTTTGATGTGCTGTGACCGCTGGGCAGCGTCCACTGGGTGTAGGACCTGCAGCCCACACATGTCACACGAGTCGCCATGGAGGTACACACAGTTCTCCCCGTAGCGACACTCGCCCACTGCGGCGTAGGGACACAGCTGCTTCTTGGTGTCCACCGCGGGCTCTTTCTCTGGTTCCTCACTGGTCACTGAAGCCTGTGGGGCTGCTTCTGTGCAGGAAGGGGCAGCTGGAATGTAAGAGGGTAAAAAAGGTCCATGGTGGGTAAGGCAGATGTGCCAAGGACAAGGGAACTGAGGAAACACAAAAGAACATCAATGCAATCCCAAGGCGGTCTCTTGACCTACTTTCCTCACTCCGGAACACAGGCATTGTTTCTCGTGCTGATATTCCTAAGATTAGGCTTATAGAAAAACAGCTACTTATGTGTGCATTTCTTGTGTGATTGAAATTTATATCTAAAAAACTAAGAAGAGAAGCGTATTTTCCACAACATCTGAAATTATTTCTATTGGAATGCAAAGCGTTTCTTCCACTCCAAGCATTAGGTTTTCTGCTTTCACGTACAAGGATGATGCTCGTGTAAGAAGTGGAAGTAGGAAAGTAGTGGAAACGCAGCCAGCTAACCTTTAATCCCTTTTCCCAGTACTCACTGCGTCCACAGTAGGGCTGTCCCGGGACAAATTCGATGGCGTTCACCCAGTCTTCTGCTCCAACTGTTGCAAAGTTGGTATTTTTTGACTCAGTTTCACCCACACTCATTTCAACAAGTGGTCCAGCTGCTGACGGGAGACTCACGGAAGCGGCAAGAGATGGTTTGGCAGTGGGATCTGTAGCAGTCGCTTCTTCCTGTTTTAGTGGTTTGCTGTGTTCATATCTGGAAAACACAAAGAATCAGCAGTCAGTGATGAGCACCAGATGCCTCCAGAAGGAACCTGGCACCTGCCCATCTGACCAGAGACGCTCCCTGGGGAATTGTGAAAAAGCTGGTAGCAGATCTGGAAGTCTGGGAGGGCCTTTGTGTGAACCAACACTGCTGGTCTAGGACACACTTTCAGGAGCAAGACCACAGGCCAAGAGTTGGAAAACTGCAACCCAGGATTCGGTCCACAGGGCGGTGTGCCCAGACCCAATGCAGACCTGGCGCTACTTGTCAATCACTCCCAATCTGAATTCCAGATAGTAACACAATACACTTCCCATGGTAACTCGCCAAAGAGCCAAGGGAGCTGGGGGACCCATCAAGGCATGTTCAGCAGGAGAGGAGCACCTTTTACTGACACACACTGACAATTTTGTTGTTGTTGTGTGCCATCAAGTCAGTTCCAACTCATGGCGACAGGGTTTCTGGGGAACGGCTGGTGAGCTTGAACCACTGACCTTGCGGTTCAAACCAACTTTGCAGCCTAGTCTAGTGCACTAACCCACAGCTCCATGATGACTCCTGGCCTGTACTGACACTGCTCCCCACTTTACAACCCATTAAACAAAACATGTTTTCTAAATCGAAACTATGCTCTAACTTCCAGTGTGGATAGAAATCATGGATCAGAGTCCCTGGGTGTTGTAAACAGTTCAAGTGCTAACCAAAAGGTTGGTGTTTCCAGGCCACCCAGAGAGATGCCTTGGGAGAAGGCCTGGGGGCGGGGGGGGGTCCACTATTGAAACCCAATGGAATTCAGGTCTGCTCTGACACACATGGCATAACCAGGAGTCAAAGTCAACTCTGCAACTAGTTTATTTAGGTTTGTTTTATTCGCCATGGGCCATCTGTGTTCCAGGTGTCTATTTACAGCTAAAACAGAAGCAAAGCCCAATTGAAGATGTCCTTTGGTTTACGGCAAATGTTTGCTAAAGTGGTCTTTATTATTTCACCTCAAGCTCCACCCCCACACTACCGCTAAGCATCAGCAGCGCCATGTCCTGAGTGCAGTCACTGAGCCACACACCTGCCACCACGGGTGTGCTTCACCCCAAGCTTAGAATTAAAGAAGCTGAAGGGTAAAGGGAAGGACCCCGTGAACATGTCCTTCATGCCCAAGAGCTGTGGGGAATCTGCGCCATCCCTGTTACCATGAGTGGTTCCATGTGACTAGAGCTGTGGCCCTGGGCCACACCTGCCACTGGTACTGGGATTCAGCTGCCCTGCAGCTCCATGTGGCTAGCTGTCATCACTCCAACAATCAGCGCAGTCTCCGCTAGAATGCTTCCCCCAGAGATAGAGGGACCCTCAAAAACTTCGTCGCACAGCCTCACTTCTCAGATGGAAGTTCCCCTGGTTTGCAAGAACGTTCCAGAAAAACAGTTCATTCCTTTCACAGCATTTTTTTTTTTTTAGGGTTTCTGAGGCTGTAAAGCTTTATTTCTGGGAGAAGAAAGTCTCATATTTCTTTCACAGAAAGGCTGGTAGTTTCGAACTGCTGACCTTGAGGTTAGCAACTGGACACGTAAGCACTACGCTACCACAGCTCCTTTCTCCTGATGCTTAAGGGCCGTTCATTTATATTTTCTTCCTGGGATCTTTAATGTTTTATTGTGAATTATATGGTAGTTTACTTAGTTTTACATTCATTCCATCGCATATCATCTCATTGCCATGGTTCCAATCCCCTCCATGCATCATCTACCAGCCAAAGGGTATATCCTACTAACCCATCCCCTACACTTCCCCCTCCCCCCAGTTTTCGGTCCACAGTCCCTTTTCCTCTCTGGATCCAAAGTCCCCAGCCACTTCATTGCTCCACATCATCGTCTGTCTCCATCTCAGGCACCTGTTTCTCTGGGTAGGGTCCCGTTCTCGGCTCTTCTCCGTTGAAGGTCCCAGATAGTTTCGCTCCTAGCCTGTAGAATTAATCACTCCCTTCCTTGTTCCAAATCGCCTACCTTTGCATTTCCAACCCTCATAATCCGTCCTGATAGGCCGCTCCTGTGCACATGCCCTCTTTACTTGTCAGCCGGTAGCTCCACTCTCCTCTAGAGTCCTCCGTGGCCACACCACTGACTCTGGGCCCAAGACTCCCCAGGTCTTCTCCAACTGCTTGCCCTCCAGGTCCCCAGCTGGGTCTACAGAAGTCCACTGAACATTATAGGGTTTAGCTTGCCGCTTCATTACTGCTTTTACCCCATTTCCCCCCCATCGGTGATGTGTGTGGTCACCAATCAGAGCGTGCATTTCCATTGAGTCTCAGTCTTGGAAGGGGGTTTGCGTTGAGAGGACCTGGCCACTTGCCTTGATGTTTTCTAGGGGAGTGAATTGTTTGTTCTTGTAGCAACAGTCCATCGGCCTCCATTTTTCCTGCAGGTCTTTCTTTCATGAGGTATCTTTTATTCTTCTAGCAGCTCCAGGCCGCTCTGCTCGTCCTTTCAAGTGGAGATTTCTCATCTCTGGAGATCTGGATGTGGTTCCAGTTTCTACCTATAGTTTTATGTATTGTAAAGGCTCTGTAGGAAGCCTCGTTCACTGGGTATGCTGTAGCCCCATTTTAGGTATTCAAATCAGTCATAGGCAGAAGAAAGACTTATAAGCCTTCTAGTGTGATGTTTCTGACTATTCCTTTCTCTCCCTCTCCAGAGTCTACTCTGTATTATAATGCAAGGGAAACCAAGATTAAAACTAACAGTCAAGCATCTTA